ATTTGAGCTGTAGCAGTTGGTGCCCCAATGAACTGGAGGTTGCAGCTCATTGCATGACATAAATGTAAATTCCAAAATTTAGAACTCTAATACAGAGTGAAACCTGGAGGGCACACTAAAGGCGGAAACGACACGGTCCAAATATTTTTTCCCTCTTATTCAGGTGCAGTCCTTCGAACACTTTTGCTCCTAGAAATGATTCGTTGCATCCCGTATTTAAATGCATCACTAACAATTCTTTACATTAATGCTTTTAAATTCATCACATGCAATGTTTTTCACTACATTATTGTTTTTGCTATTAGAACTCCATTTGTCTGTCAGTTTCATTTGTTTCGTGTTGTGCTGAATGGCATTTCTTTCCAAACATTCCTTCAGTATGCCCAATTGTTCTTTAAGTACGGGGCACTTTTTATACGCAGAGAAAATTTGCAGATTTTTTATATTTTTCAATGCATCAGTTTCACATTCAATTCAATGCAAAAGTTGACAATTGGTGACGTGTCATTTTTCCTCCTCTGCATCTGATTCCTGCTCCTCATTGTCGTCGTCACAATCATTTTCTTGCTTGTTGTGCCTTACGATAAGTTCTGCTGTAGAGACTTGATGTGCGCGTACTGTTATCGTGGATTATTATCGCCGTTGATGTACTCCATCAACCAATAGCATCTATTTCAAACGATTCCTTTGAACATAGATCTGATATTGATTCAGCTTCATCTGAATCCTCATTTTTTTCAGCATCAGGGTAAAATTGGAATCCTGTAGATGTCATTAATTTGATTTTTACCTCAACTATACTGCAGTTTCTCCTTTTCATGTAATTCAATCACCTTCACTTTATCACGTAATGCGAGTGCTGTATTTTGCTACCGACATAGTTCGTGAAATTCACTACTATGCTCTATTACTCTCTGCTACCACTTACACATATTTTCCGATCTGGACAGGTTTCTGTCGTATTCAGGTTCCGTCTTGAACATGTTTTACTGCATGTAATCAAATGTAAGCAATTTATTTAAATTAATTAAAACTAAGTTTAATGAAAGTCTATACTGAAACATTACTTCCATAATTTTATGAGTAGTGTCCCTGTCAGGAATATATACCTCCCGCGCACGTGGTTCTAGCATTGATATCCTTTGGGTACCTAAGTTTCTGTATTAGTTATGCATTGAGACAGTTGACAGTAGTAGGATTATAACAAAACAAAAAAGAAATTAGTCTCGAAAATACGGTGATCGCACTCCAGCACTTTGCAACAAGCACTTTTGTTTGTACACGTTTTTCATAAATAAAATGATTTTATTTTGAAAATTTCACTACCCTGGTATATATATATTGTGGCGTTATGGGATTGTGCAACCCCATAACACCACCGTCTCATGTGTGAACACTACGGAAACAGCGAGGATAACAGGCGTGTAAGCAGAGGTACTTAAAAGCGCGGCCTGTATCCGGTTGCCCGTACTAAACGAATGCGAAACTAGCGAGCTATGTTTTCTTTTGAAGGGTTGAAAGAGGGAACAACCCGCAACCCCCCCCCCCATCACGAAGTATTTCCCCAGCGCCGCGCCATAAATACCGCGAACCCCGCAAGCGGAAGCTCTCTCTTTTTCTGGTCACCACGCGTCGAGTAAGCAGCTGCTCTCTTGATCACCGTTCGACGAGTCAACATTTCGTTAAACATTAGATATTGGTTTACCGCTGCAAACGACTACTAGGTAGGAGTATTCGGCGTCGAACAGACGTTCTAGTTAGTCGTCCGCGAGATAGTGCAGATTAAGTAGGTGTTCTTCAATTAACAACACGGGAAGTAAAAGTTGCCCGTTGAGGGAAACTTAAAAGTTCTAGCTTTTGTCAAAGTAAAAGTAGCAACGAGCGAGGAACTTGCACGAGTAATTCGGGAAGTGCAAGGGACATTTTCGCACCGTGGGCATAGCAGAGGCGCCGGTAGCAGACGAGGAAGAAGAAGAGGCCGAGCGACTTGGGCGCACGAGGAAGAAGGCGGATCGAAAACGAGAAGAACGGAAGACGACGCAAGAAGGCAACGCAGACGGCAGGGCGAATCCCGTCTCTCTTACAACGCAGAGGTTGGGACCGAGGCGCGTCACCGCAGCGACCAGCGCACAACCAATCAAGGCCAAATTGCGAAGTCCCCCACGAGTAACAGTTAGGAATCGCAGAAAATAGGTCAAAGTTCACGTCGGCAGGGAAAACTAGTATAGGAAAAGTGTTAAGAACTTGAGGACACGGGTGGCAACAAATTACAGTATTATAGTAGGAGACGTTTTGATGCGCGCTATTGCCTGCCTAAAAACATTCTACTTAGGACATTTATTATTTCGCTAGTTTCAGACACAGTTAAATTGTAAATTAGAGTAGTGCACTTGTACACATTTTGTTCTTTACATGTAATATCTTGAAACGAGATATTGTAAATTGGATTTTTGATTTCATGTGCAATGTTATTAGGATAGCACAAATTTAGATATAATTAATTTTCCAAGGAATTCCCAGTGTAGTTTAGGGTAATTACGTCAGAGTATCAATCTTGAAGTAAATTATGTGTTCATTCACATTTGAGTGTGTTTGTAAAGGTTACTATTTGTGTTTTGATTATTCTTTGTAAAAAGTGTGATTCTATATTCTTGGTTTGTCATTAACTTATGCCACTAAAAGTTTATGGTATTATACGCTCGTTTGTGTGCAATCTGTGTGATTTATTTGTGTCAAGGCTTCAAACCTTTCTCCACCCTGAAGATCCTGCTCCCTAGATTTTTAAAAAGCTCGCTTCACGAGCAAAATCTTGACAACCTGCTTACGGTTCATGCGTGCTACCGTGAAGGTGGTAAGTTGTTGAGGTAGGTGGTATGTTAGAATATATATATATATATATATATATATATATATATAAATATATATATATATACATACATACATACATAAGATATAAAGATCGATAGTAATGAGAGATCATTTCACACACGTTCGTATTCACACCAGCGTTCTCAGACTGTACCTGCACTCACGGCGACAAAAAGAAAGGGGCCTCCTTTCAGATCAGCCAACTTTATCCAAAGAAGTTATCAAGTGTACATTTTTAATAAACAACCCTACTATCAAAATGAGAAGAAATTCTCCAAACATTATAAATATTGTTTTTAATGCCGTCAATAATTGAATGAACTTGTGTTCTTTGAATAACATTAAAATTCATGAATGTAAGTGACATCTAGTGTCAGACGATGAAAGAATATTGGTATTCCTCACAGACGCCGCGCAACGCTCGGTATCGGTGGGGAATATTTTTCGATTGTTACGAATACCTTGGGGTTGTCGAGCCGTGCAACTTAAGCTCGAGCACATTCTTTACCATTCTTTGATACGCACGAGGAAAAAAAATTAAAGAAAAAAATAAATATTACTTTAACAGTGAAAGAGTACAAAACTTGGAATAAATTATTTTGCTAAAAAAATAATTTTCTACTGTATAATATTTTAATGTAACTGTGACAAGTATTGTAATATAATATCTAGGCCAATGACCCCATCTCGATACGTTTTTTTGTCCAGTTTCCTTGGTCCTTTGAGCAAATGCTGAGATGGTCCCTTGTTTAGCTTCTGGACAGTAACGTAACTTTACTCTATCCACCCAAGAGATCATATTGACTCATCATACACGATTGTAATCATATATGTGACTCAATAAATTTATTATTATTATTATTATTATTATTATTATTATTATTATTATTATTATTATTATTATTATTATTATTATTATATCTACTTTTAGGAACACATTTCATTAAGTACAAAATCTACCTTCAATATTGTACTTTTGCAATGATATTTTTTGCATTTTTCCAAAAAATGGACTGGGACCAAATATTACAAAATGGGACAAGCAGCACATTCTTTACCGTTCTTTGATACGTACAAGGAAAAAAATTAAAGAAAAAAATTGGTGTCGTTTTCGAGAAAAAAAATTGTTTTAAAAATGCGTATTTTTCGCGTAAATTTGCGGAAAATCGTACGTGGCCTTATTTCAACATGTCTTGAAACAATAGATTTCATTAAGGAAACAATATCATCTTCAATATTGCAGTTGTAGAAAGACACCGACATTTTTTAAACATTTTTGTAAGTTTTGCAAATTTCCAAAAAATCAGGGATTTTAACAAAAAAGGGATTTTTCTTTACATTGTTAAAGGATCAATTTGTATTTATAAAATGGCCATTTTTGGCAAATTTTCGAAAATGTTGAGGCTTGTTGTGAAGTATCCCTCAAAATCAAAACATTGTTTCATACTCTCAAGTCGTTGAGATTGATGAGAGAATATGAATTATGGAGAAAATCATCTAATCGGTTTATTCGCTAACGTGGACAGACGTAGAACATAGACGAACAGGCGTTTTTCGTCAATCATTTTTGTTTGTTGGTTTTTCAATATATCAATGATCCATAAAACATTGATTTCGACTCCTTAACATATTAGATTAAATAATTCATTCCATATAGGAACAAGAGTCATTCACGTTTTCGTTAGCAGGACCGGGGAATAAGTTATTCTGTTGAAATGTCACCGTTTTCCACCCAACATAAAATAATTCTTACAAATTGCAAGAAAGTAAAATTTACATTTAATATTCCCGATTTTTTTTCTGAATGTTTCAGAGATCAATGAAGAGGTTCAATGATCTTATGTTGTATTACTGAAATAAGAGTTCGATAATGTTTTAAAGATAATATTGTATTAAATTATATGGTTCGTGCTAATGATGAGAGTGAAGAAGCTACATAATTTAATTTGTCATCCGGAACTTTTCTTCTGTTAGTGACAAACTTTATTTATTTTATCTATTTTTTTTTCTCCTTAAATCATGTTTTATATTTCACTCAACGGTATCATTTTTATTTGCATGCCATAATAACAATCAATGGTTTTTTCTGCATTCGGTTTCTGAAGTGAAGACCATTACTAGGGCAGAAAACCATTGAGTTCTTTGAATGACTTACGTTTACGAGACCTTACGTTAATCCTTGAATGCCCGCGGTTGACCGCTATGCCAATGAACTCTCTGGATGATGGTGAGCGGTCACGGCATCAGCTGTTTCACTGTGACAGCTGCTGCGTGAACTGTCTCGCTGATGTCGGTGGCGTCCGAGTGCTGCTTCCGCAGTTGAGTAAGTTGTACTTATTATGTTCGTGTTCTAGATTTGCATATTCATATGTGTTGGTATCATAAAAGATTTTTTTCGTTTCTTGAGAAAAAGACTGCACCCATACTTTATCTTTTCAGATATACTTGTCGCTAAATTTCTTCGGAGAAAATGGGGGCGAACAGTAGCAAGAAGGCCACCGGTAGACACCCAGGCCTGTCTGATGAAGAGCATAGGCAGTTACAAAAAATTTTTCAAGTGGCATCTAAGGACTCTTCACATTGCACCGAGATGAATATCCAAGTTAGTAGCGCAGTTCGTGCAGGAGGAAACTTCACGGTTTACGCACTTTAACTTTACCCACAGGTTTGTTTTTCAGGAGTTGTGGAATGGAATTAACGATCGCCTTTTGGCGCTGTTGCTTAACTATTACTTCAAGTCCAAAAAAGCTGTAGATTTTGAAAATTTTATTAAACCGTATGTTAATGTCGTACATGGAACAGTGGATGAAAAAATCGAAATATTAACATCGTTCTGGGAGACTGAAGGAGGGATTCAAACCAAGGATATAATAGAGGTCAGTGTTTTGTGATGAAGCTTAAAATATTTCTATTTAATAGATAAATAACTTTAGTAAGTTTTTGTTGCAGTATGTGTATGGCGTAGTCCATTCGTTTCTCCAAAATCTCCTCAATGACGAGACCTATGAAAGCTGGAAGTCTGCTGGATGCAACTCCTCTGATGATAGAATTAGAATGTTTTCCAATTTTTTGTGTCACGATTTACCGTTGTCTCCTCTCATCTCGTCAGAACAATTAACTGTCTGGGTTTCATCATTGTCAAGTTTGCATGCAATGGAAAAAGCTGTATTTAGAAATATATATGGCACATCAACACCAGATATCCTTTGTGAAATTAATATGCCATTGTGTTTAGGAATAACCCCAGGGACAATTTTTCCATCGTTATTAGAATCAAGTGATATTTTGTTTTTGAATTCACGTCTTCCAAAAGAAATGCGTTGTGAATGGAGATTTTTATTTTCAACGAAGATACATGGAGAGAGTTTCTCAAAACTTCTTGGTAATATTTGTAACCAAGGGGCAAGTTTAATTATTGTAAAAGACAAGTTGGGACATGTTTTTGGAGGATTTGCTCCAGATAGTTGGAATGTTGGACCTTCATTTCTTGGTAAGATTAATTAAAACTTTTTAATTTCAAGAATTATTGTTCCAGTGTATTAATTATTTTTTCTTTCAGGAAATGCAACCAGCTTCTTGTTTAAGTTGGAGCCAAGTTTAAACATCTATCATCCTACTTGTTACAATGATCACTATCAATATTTAAATATCCAACAACAAACAATGCCAAATGGTTTGGTGGGTATATTTTCATTACTGTATTCTATTGTTTGTATTTTTTGTGCAGTTGTTGAAATGTCATAATTTCTTCAAGATTTTAAAAATAATTTAAATGATTACTTCCTTAAAAATCCATTATTTAAAAAATATGACATTAAACAAAATGCTACGAACAGCGACATTGCCAAAACCTAGAACACGGAAATTGCTAGAAGCTATCTTAATTGTGTTTCCTGCTAGGTAATGGACACATTTTCTTGCATTACACAACACTAAACATGCAACATGCATGTGCTCTTGAAACACCTACACAAACATTTGCACCACTCGCACACACATGTAAATGTACCACTAAATATATGCATGGGTAGTCCCACAAAACATTCTCACACATACATACATGGAGACATTGCACCCTGCTTGCCTCGCAACGTATCTCACTTTTGAACCACTGTGCACTAGTGAATGCAAGATGATTGTATAAACGATTTCTTCCTAAGAATTTATTTTTTTGAAGAATCATGAATGCAAACTTATCTATTATTGCCGCAAAAGTATTGATAAGCAAAAATATTCATAGAGATAGGAAATGCTGAGATATTCTATTCTTATAAATTAAAAGAAGAGAATGTATTTATAGAAATGAAATTGGAAGAGGAAATTGTAGAGATTAAAGATAGGAATTTTATTTGACATTTATTCTTATACATTTTTACTGGCCTTTCATCTATTAAAAAACATTCCTTGACTTGCAGGGTATGGGAGGTCAGTTTGAGTATTTTGGTCTGTGGCTTGATGCAGAATTTGGAACAGGACATAGCAGTGAGTCTTGTACCACTTACCGAGGCTACCAAATGTTATCTGGTGAAAAAAATTTTCAAATTGATCACGTTGAAGTGTGGGCAGTAGGAAAACCACCTGTTGTTGAAGATGAGGTAAATATTTAGCCCTTAAATAGTAATATAGTATTTATAGAAGTGTTATTGCTTTGAAGATTTCTTTATTTTTTTAAACCAAAT